TCCGTAAGGTGTGTATTTGTGGATGTTTCGTTGATCTAAGGGCCGTTGAGGCTTGATCTTGGATGAACTGTTGGAAGTTTCTTCAAAGGGCCGTGGGCTTGATCTTTGAAGGTGGATTTGAGCGGATCTTCAAGGAGCCGTTGGGGCTTGATCTTGAGGATGAATGTTTCTTCAAGGGGCGTTAAGGCTTGATCTTGAATAACGGTGATGAACGGATCTTCAAGGGATTTTGGGCTTGATCTTGAAGAACAGTGATGAAAGGATCTTCAAGGGCTTTTGGGCTTAATCTTGAAGAAACGGTTGGATGTGTGGATTTGTCGACGTTGTTGATCCAAAGGGCCGTTGGGGCTTGATCTTGGATGAACGGATGATGAACGATGGACACTTTCTTCAAGGGCCGTCGGGGTTTGATCTTGAATTGGTGGATGATTGTTGATCCAAAGGGCCGTTTGGGCTTGATCTTGGAAGAACGATGAACGAAGAACGAAGAGAGCTTTCTTGATTCTTCGGGAACCTGGATGCTTGAGAGCTTCGGAGTTTCAGAGCTTCAGAGCTTCAAGGTGTAATATGAATGAAATAGGCTTGTAGTTATAGAATTTTCCAAGGTCTAATTTTGAATATAATATTCCAGATGAAATAAGTCGTTTCTGCCAGGTGTTGACACGTGTCCTATTTGATGACTTTTCTAACTCATTTCCATTTTCGTTGAGTCACACGCTACGTGTAAAATTTATGTAATACATGAGCGTTGACACTTTGATTTATTGGTCAATATTTATTTACCGAAATTTCGATGTCTACAAATGCATTTACAGATCATATTTTTTAGAATTTATTGCTTCCTCGTGAGATGATGACTCCTATTTCTATTAATTTTGAGCAATATAGATATTCTGAATCTATGATGAATGAAAAAATGGAATGCCAAAAAATAGCAATGTACCGAGACTTATAGAACACCTAAGTTTTGAACATGAAGATTAAAAAGCTATCTATGACAAAAGTATTTTTGGCATTTTTGCTAAAATGATTCATAAAATTGGCATAACTCATCACTTTTGGTCACCGAGATTTGAAATTAATAGAGATGATTCATGAGTTTGACTACCATCAATTATTTTGTTAATTCTGTAAAAAAATTAATGTTACATAAGGATCAAAATGACAAAAAAAAAACCCTTAATTTAATAAAATATGGCCCAAAATGATTTGACAAAATTAAGATCATTTTTGTCATTTTATCTTTATTTAACAGAGAATTTTCACATAATAATCAAAATGGTTGATGATGGATAAACTCAGCTCAGGAACCAATTCTATTAATTTTAAATCTCAATACTAAATTGAAAAGTTATAACAATCTCAGTTCCAACTTGTCCATGAGTGAATAGTAAGTTTTTTTTCTTCCGGAACAAGTCCATGGACTCGTCAGAAGCAAGCTTGTCGCACAGCCCCTGGATGGAAGAGGAGAGAAAAGCCTCTCCAATCAAGACTCTTGCCAATTCTCTCCCCCTCTCCCCTTTTTTTTTTGGTCCTTCAAAGAAGTGTTGAGGTGAGGAAGAACAAGATACGACTTGATACTCTTTTGGTCAATAATTGAGTGGACTCCACACGTTAATCATAGAGTCTATTTTTTATATATTATTATTATTATTATTATTATTTTAACATATCATAGTCTTAATCGTAATAATTTTGGAGTAGGATTTTTTTTTTTTTTTTTCCATCTCCTTCTCTCTTCTCCAATTTGAACGATCACGGTTAAGCCACATCAACATCTTATATTAATTTTTTTATAAAAAAAAAAGATAAAATAGAAAATATGAAAGAAAAGAATGGAAAAAGATGAAAAGATGAAGAGAGAGAATCTTAGTCCAATATTTTACCTGACAATTTCCTAATAATTGGTTGGTGTGAGAATGACAGAGTGTGGGTTGGGCGAATTTTAGTGGACCCCAACGTTAATCAGGCATGTAAGTAGCAATTACATTGACTTGGTTAATTAATAGGCTGCAGTTGGACTATAAAAATAGGATAAATTTTTCTCTATGTCTGAAACACGAGCGTTATACAGCATATCATTATATAAGTGAATGAAACTTTTATTTTTTAAGTTGTTAATCTTTTAATATAAGTATCTCACCACTTGTATAGTGATAGGTGATGTACCATCTAGTGTTCCGGTCGTATTGAAAAATTCTCTCCAAAATCTTCGACTCTCTATTTTTAATCCCCATAATAAATTTTTCATTATGACCAGAACACGGGTGGTACATTACATGTTTTCTGTAAGTGGTGAAAAATTTTATTTTTTAAGTTATTAACATTTTAACACACATATCTCATCATTTGTATAGTGACATGTGATGTACTACCCCGTGTTCCAATCACACTGAAAAATCTCTCCCTTATCAGGTCTTATCACATGGTCTATGGGGAGATCAAATCTTCTACGCCCAAAATGGGTGTGGTATCTCTATGCCTCTAATCATTGTTTGGCACACATTAGGTTTATAAAAACAAAGTTAAAAAAATTAAGTTTAAAAACAAATGTCAGTCAATAATAAGAACCAGAGAGAGGCCACACTCATCTTAGAGACAGAAAATTTGATCACGTTGTAGAGATGTCAATGGGTTGTATGATATACACATACTCTTATTTACTTCTCGCATACTCCTTATTAATTTTCATTATTTAAAATTTTTCAATTTATTCGACCTGATGGCCTGAAAGTGAGAAATTATGTGCGAAATTTAAAAAAAAAAGTGTAAATAGCACATCTCGTTGTAAAATAGGGAACTTCAACTCGATTCCAAGCAGGCAACAAAACATTGTCTTTCATCAAAATTTTGTCCTCAAAGTGCGCACCATAGCAATCCCTTATTCTGGCTGTCCACCCATCCTCTTCAATTGGTTACTAATTTCTTCTTTTGCAGTCCGTCCAGATTAAAATAAATAAAAAGGAATTAAATTAGTATCACGCATTATATAAAGACAAACACGTGTTTACGTTTAGAATGATAATTACAATGAACAAAATAATATGCGTTAATCTCAAACAACAAACATATCATTAAAACCAAACAACAAGATCATGCATCTATAAATCATAATTTTTAGAGTTTACTACCTTCTTCGTGAGATGACTCCAATTTCTATTAATTTTGAGCCACATAGATATTATGATGGATGAAAAAAAAATGAACGCCAAAAACCAGCAATGTTCCGACACTTATGAAACACCCAATTTTAAAGATGAAAATTTAAAAGATATTTCTCACAAAAACAATTCTTTTAAAGAAAACTTAAAAGGCCTCACTATAAACATAAATGATCTGGGAGGTAGAAACATTCGGGAAGAGGGAGAGAAAGAGTTTATAGATGTGGTTTTGTGGCATTTGCTACGTGGAGTGGGACGGAACAGGTTCGTCACATGATTAGTGCGACAAAAAAACGCGCCTATCCTTGAAATGAATTTTTAGTCTAATTTTTGTACCACACTCCATCATGAAAAAACAAACCCTAATCTTGTGTCTTTTTTCTCTCCGCGTAGCCTCTCTCTCTCCTCGTTGTCTTCTCCGCGGAGAGGCTCCATTCTCTGCTTCGTTCTCTGCCTCTGTCTTTCTCTTGTCGCAGCATCTCAACATCTCCCCTCTTTGATTTAAGGGAATTTTAACGAAAAACTCCCGGTACTGTTCATTTTAACGAAAAACCACATTTTTACGTTAAAAAGTCAATCCTGATACTATTCACTTTACCCTTTATTTTGTCCTTATCGTTAAAACTCAAAGTTTTCAAACCCTTTTCATTAGTTTTCCTTTGATTTAATTGTCAATTTTTTCTAAGTTGGTTGTGATTTTCCTCATTCAATTGACCATGGTGTTCTATGCGTAGAAGTTGAAAACCCTAGAAAGTTACGGATTTCACTGAAATTGATTTTCGGTTCCACAAGCTTTGCACTGTTTGGGGTTAAGGGTGTAATTTAGAGGTATACATCCGTTTCTGTGTTTATGTTTATGCAACTATTGGCTGAGAAAATGAATCGTTTCTTAATTGTTCCTTCTCACAAGCTTAAGGGAATATGGCTGCTGCGATGAATATGAAATAATTACCCAGAAATACATTATTACCCAGAAGAACCTAATAAACTTCTTCCTTACCAACAAATATTAATATTAAGTGTCAATGTAACAAATATATCATAAATAAGCATTAATTTTTTCGTCCTATTATCATTTCAGCATGCACACCTTTGTCGTTCCGTCTACGCATTAAACGGTACTTTAATTCTTGTTAAATTTGAATTTTTATTTTTTAATCTTATTTTATTTTATTTTATTTTAAATGCTCATAAACTAACTGAATAGTGGAGCAAAAGTGAATAGATTTCATCTCAAAGGAAATTGTATTAATGATCTCTCAATTTTAACTTTAATGAAGCAATGATTCTTCAATTAAAAATTTCTTATCATTAGTCATTTTACTCAACAAAACGTGAAACTATAGACATTTTCAACAACTCAGTCATAACTTTCGTCAAAATAAGACTAAATCAATGGGCAAATATGAAAAATTAAATGAGAAAATTGTAGCAATGATCCCTAAAGTTTAATCCAATTGTAGCAATGGTCCTTTCAACATGACTCATTTTGATAGAGTTGACGAAAATAACCATAGTTGCATGTTTTGATGAGTTAAAAAATTAATGATCATAAATTTTTAATTGAGGAACCCTTGCTCAAACTAAGTTAAAGTTATACTGCTACAATGTCTCTTAGCATAAATGGGGTATTTAGCCATAAAGAAAAGTATATAATTAAAATTCAAGGGAAAATTCGATAAATAGTTAAAATGAAACTAAAAATCAGAGTTGAAACTTGAAAGTATAACCTCAAACAAATTATTTGGTTTGAACGAAAAACGAGTCTAATTGCAGCAAAATAATGTATCCCGCCACTAATCACCGCGCCTTCTCTTGAAGCGCTTACTCTCTCTCTCTCTCTCTCTGTCTATCTCTGAGTTGCCGTAGCATCGACCACCCAAGAAAACCGTACGTCTCCAGGTGCCTCACTCTGCATTCAAATGTGAACCATTTCTAGGGTTTCATTTCAGCAGGGCGTCTTTGGAGTGTTGCAATTTTCAAAGTATAAACTTTTCCCTTATCATCCCACTTCCCCCATTCTCAAATTTGCCATATTTTCCTTATCTTCAACGCCTTTGTCCTTTTCGCAGAAAGCCCGTCGCCGATTGATTCAATCCGTAGCAGATTTTGGAGCGAAGAAGCTCCATTGATCCCGAATACACAAATGTGTTGGAGCAATGAATAGGGCACCTCATATGAGGCAAGAGTAAGAGGAACAAAGAAATAGCCTTTTTACTTTGCATTATATTCCCGTTGCTTCCATTGTTATTTATCCGGAATTCGGGTATGTGCAGTCGCCCCAATCTGGCTCAAGATTTCTGTGCCCAGACGCCTGTTAAAGCTAATTTGTTGGAACATGTCGATGCACTTGATAATTTCTCGTGCCCGCATTGTGTTCTGAGCTCAAATTTTATTTTCTCCTTACCAACACAAAAGCCTCTTGCCGAAGAGGCAATGGTTTCCGGGTATGTCGCGGTTATACGTGTTTTGTTTCATTTTTATTTTTTTGTTTTTGTACTGTTATTTCATTTTATCTTGAGGATTACTTGTTATTTGGTGACAACTTGACATCAGTTTATGTATTTGGTCATTGTGGTCTTTTGCTTGGGTAAGATATAGCTCTTGTGTTTGTGTTATTTACAGGATTCATTGTTTGTTTCAGCTAATTTTAAGTTTCATCTACCTTAGCGGGGTATGGGTCCCTGTGTAAAAGAATCCCCCACTATAGCGAAGCTAATTTATATGTCTATAGTTGTATTAATGTGGTATCTAAATGGAGTATTATTACTCGTGAGTTATAGTTCAAATCAACAGTACTCATGTACGTAAAACATAATTTAGAGCTAAGCCATCAGAACCAAACTAAGAAACATAAAAGTGATTCCTCTAATACAGATGGAGGCCATTATTCTCTTATTCACATACAATCCTAAAAAATTTCCCTAAGATGAATTCCTTTTACGGAAACCAAGTTAGTACATATATACATATGATATCATCATTTAGGAACCCCTTAAGATTGGGGGCCCTGTGCAAGGGCACCTATTGCACATGCCCAAGGCCACCACTGCAATCCATTCCCAAATATTAATATCTATCCCAAATATTAATGTAGGCAAAATTCATGCCTCTGCAATCCATTCCCAAGATGAGAATTGTTTACAGAAAAAAAAAATGATCTGAATTACATCGGGGTTGTTGAATCTCTTTCTAAAATTTCTTAGTAACGAACTGTTTCAAGTCGCTTTACATATTGAAAAACTCTGCTTGAAGTATTACATCTTGGTTTCTATCCATGAACCCTTTTCTTTGGTTACATTAAGTGCTAAACTCAATATCTGCAGTTCATGGTAGAACATGATATTTGTTATCTTTTTCCTCTCTCTCCTAGAAATAGGGAACAAGCCATCTAAGAAATAGCTATCACCAATTTTATTAATGTAATTTTTTTTACTGGAACTGAAAATAGTCATTGTCACAAATGCTAACGGGTTTATTGTGCTTCAAGAAGCTCCACACATGCATTTCTGAAGTTTTCTATTATAGATAGTACTTGCATTTGTATATGCTAATCTTTGCAACTTCAATTTTGCATTTGTACATGCTAATCTTTGCAACTTCAATACAATTTGACAGTGCCATTTTTTAAGTCTCAAAGGCTGCATCGTTTTGGTTATGTTTGTTGGCAATCTCACCGCCGCAATCGCTCCACGCTTTGTTGTTAAGTTTTTGTATCAGTATTATAGACCTTGTGATGTTCAGATTGCAAGAGAATTCGAGAAGTTTGGCAATCCAAGAGCGTCCCCTGCACAAATAGAAATGGATGCGATCTTGGACCCGCCGAGGAGATGAGCAGGTGATGTTATTGCTTTCGACATCTCCTTCTTTTTGTATCTTTTGTAAAAAGGTTATTCTTTAGGCTGCTTCAGAGTATCTCTCTCCCAGTTGCCTCATTGTTCATTGTTTGCTATCCGAAGGATAGGGTTTGTAACTTTGTAGTGCTAGGCTTATATTTTGTGTTCCTCTTTTGTTTTGTTGTACCTTATTCATTCGGTGTAATTAGACTTGTTTAAAGAGAAAAGAATTAGACAATCGATACAATACATGAATTTTACCACATAAGTTTGGATTGTGTTCAGATTGAATCCTTCATACCAACTTGAAATCGACCAAAAAGTACAGGGGTTTCAAACAGATGTAGGACAGAGTCCTACATCCTGCCTCAGGTCTCCTCTCGTCTCCTTTCTTTCATTCAGCGACTTGGGAGATAAAAAATATAATATACAAATTATGTGGGAAGTTTACCATTAAATATTACTGTGGCATTATGTGATAAAGTTTACACCAAGTAATCGATGGTTAAGGACAATATCAGTGAATGAATGAGATCATAAGCAACACCTAGTAATGATAAAACCCACGCCTAGTAATGATAGGCCTAAAAAGTGTCATGGTATCACTATCAAAACATGTTATTCTTACACGAAAAGTTGTGTTTGCATCGGCATAATAAATGAGTTATTGGTTCTGTTATCCCACCCCTAGGAAATAATAGGTAGTGTTACGTACTATGCTATGCAAGTCTTAAATCTTTAAAGAAAGAATCCAACCATTAACTGCCACATCATGCAGTCAACAACATATGGTTCAAAAACAGCCATAACTAGTAGTGTTACGTACTATGTGATGCAAGTCTTAAATCATTAAAGAAAGAATCCAACCATCAGTACTATGTGATGCAAGTCTTAAATCATTAAAGAAAGAATTCAACCATCAACTGTCACATCATGCGGCCAACAACATATGATTCAAAAACATTAACAACATATGATTCAAAAACATTCTCCCTAGCATTTTCCTTAAAATTTTAGTTTGTCAACCAAAAAGTAATTAAATTTTTAGTTTTACGTGCTAGTGGAATACACGTAACATAAGTAAAAGTGAAAATATTAAAATGAGAAGGTTGTAAGCACTCCCATTTGTATTTAATCAAAACTCAATAACAATTTCATATCCTAAAACAGGTCAAATGAAACAATTATTCTTTGAAGAACCGCCAAGCAAACGATGAATGCAGAACCCCGTGTCCTAATGCACCAAACAACGGGCTTCGTACTATTAGTCATATCCTGTACTTTACGCGGCATGCCAAACGAGGCCATGGTGTGCTAATTCATGGAGAGCACCATACATCTGAGTAGGGCATTGCGACAAAGTGACCCAATTTCTCGCTTCATATTTTTACATTGTGCAGTATTCATGACCACAAACGCAAGCCACGCCACCTAGTCAAGGAAACGTAATGTACAGGTATTCAAGCAAGCACGGCCATGAGGCAGCACGCAACGAACCCACACACTCTTCACCGTATCCGCACTGTGTCTACCTGAAGATTAAAGTGAAAGCGAAAGATGAGAAAATCATGCCGCCGTATTCAATCACACCAGTATGTGAAAACCATCATCCTGCGGTGGGGTTACCTTTTCGATGCAGGAGAATCATATTCAAGCCGGATAGGCAGAGCCACACAGCGGAATTCAAGGACTACCACTTGTCGTAATTTTGGTTGCCCCAGATAGCCATGTCTTTACATTTCCACAGAATGCACAGAAATAAGTCACCCCCATCACAAACTGTCCAGGCGTTGTCGAAGACAGATTCCGCTTGGGAGTTTTCAATTTTATAAAACTAGAGCAAAAAGAAACAAGAAAATAAAAAATGAGACTTCGAGTGAATTGGAAGTTCAAGAATGTTTTAGCACTGAAAAAAAGGGTGCACAAAATCAATTAAAACAAGTTTTGAGCAACCTTTTTAATCAAATATATAATAGAACAAAAGTAAGAATTACCTCTAAAAGTTTCACTGAACTTCAAAAATTGGAGAGCATTTCCCACATCCTCAGCAGCTAATGGTGGCCTGAGGTAGGGGAAGCTCAAGATCAACCTCTCTGCTCTCAATGCGGCGTTCCTTGACCCTGCGACACCCTCCTGCAGCCTTGCCCTTGCTCTTGCCCTTGGTATTATTCTTATTCACAGCAGCAGCACCATCTCTGCTGCATTACAAGTTTCCATCAACTCGTCCTGCTTTGCCGCATCCCAGTACTTCACATCATTGCTCTGATCAAGGGCGTTCTCCTTCCCTCGTTTGCTAGGTGAATCAACACACATTGCCTGCCAAAACTTGAGACCATAAGCCCTCCTAAACAGAATTAAAACCAACCAACAACAATATCAATATGCATTCTCAAAGAAAAAACTATAATCAATAGCACCATCTCTGCTGCCAAAAACAACCTCTTGAGTCTCAATAGTCCTGGGCCATTCCTTGACTTTATGATGCTTTCTGAACGCCTTGGCATTGACATCCTTATTGCTCACAGCAGCAGCACCATCTCTGCGGCCATTACAAATTTCCATCAACTCTTCCTGCTTTGTTTTCATAGTTTCCTGCTCACCAGATTTGGAGATGCATCCAAGTTCATATCTTTGCTTCCACCAAGAGACTTCTCCATCCCTCGTTTTCTTGGTGAACCAACACCGGTTACTTATCAAAACTCGAGGGCATAAACCCGCTTGAACGTCACTAAAACCTTGTTTGAATCCATACGTTTTTTTAGGCAAACCATCCTTGCTTTCGACATCCATCTCCCCTTGTTTCTTTGGCTTGAACATACTTGAAGGGATTGCTCATATTTTATTAGATTCGAATTGTAGTTGCATGTCACCACACATAGAGAAAACATACCTTTTTGTCCTGATACAACTCAAGGGATAGCTCATAACATCCCCAATGATAGAGCAAAATGCTGTAATCTCTCAGTTCCTTTGGATCGCTTCATAGGCTGTGACAACGGGCACAATCTCAGATTAAAATCGTTTTCTTTAAGGAGAGTATGTAGACATTCCAACAAAAATTCATGGAGGGTATGTGCACAGTTAATGCAGTGAAAGAAGACAGCTTTACCTTCAGATCGATGCGTTCTCCCACTTCATTTCCACATCAAGATGTGAAAATCCTGTTTCTTCTCATATCTGTTTCGATAGGATGCCAACACAAGTGCTTTTCTTTTTCATACCCCAGCTCAACATGTATGAATACTGCTAAATTCAAATATGGTGAAATTATAAACGATCGAATTGATCTTAGAAAACAAGCAAATGGTTCTTAAAATGAAACCTAATTGGTGCAGCTTCTTAAATAATTCCAGCTAATAAAAAGATTGAATTAGCATCAACTTATACATGAGCTATCCATTATATTACGTCACAGTTAACAAGTGGACTTTTTCTTTATATTGATGAATGTAATCAGCATGTCTCTGACTACACCGTCGCTCTTTATCTCAATTAAAAAGGAAAAAAAGTTGTTTATTTATGAACTTTTCAGAAACAAAAGTGAAATGGAACTCAATTTTATCATCTGCAGTGTTCAACATAAGAAATATCATTCCTGTGAAATGTGTAGTGCAGCAACCACCCACCTGCTCTAGTAACATAATGGACAGAATTCCAACGAGGGCAAGCATGAGGGCAGTGCTCCATAGAAACCTGGCTCTCATTTTGTTTTGTGGACATCATCACCCGTTCTCACTTCAACAGAGATGTGTGTGTACAAAAACATATCTGCACCCACCCGAAGATGGCAGCAACATGAAGAGAAAATGAAAAGGAATGCTGCTTGTATTGAAAATAAAGCAATATATGAGTAAAACATCATTCCTGGGGTTACCTATCCAATTGAAGGAGAATCATATTCATGCCACACTGCGGGACAACCATTCATGGACAGCTAATTGATGGACGTTTAAATCATTGGCCTTAGATAATCCAATCATTACAGTTCCACAGTTTGCTATCTGCATCAGCAAAGCCGACGAACACGTTAGTGACATTTTTCTTTAAAGGAAAAAGAAAACAGAACAAGAAAGAGATGCAGTATGCTGGGCCGAAACAATTCAATAGAAATTTCTGCAGATACATGTGACAAATTTTTCTCCTCTGCCCTGTTCCTTTTATTTTAGTAATTGAACTCTGAAACTTTGAAAAGAATTCAGCAGGATTGTTCACTCACTCTTTAAATCTTAGATAGGGGATGAAACAGGATACTCCTTACATCATTTAAGTTATGAGCCAGCACTATTTATGTGTGTGTGTGTGTACACACACACACACACACACACACACACACATCAATCATTAAAGTTATGAACCAGCACCATGTATGTGTGTGTGTGTGTATAATGTGTCTATATATATATTGCAACAAAAAATATGGCGAAACAACTATAAATGGTTAACTACAAAAATGAAAGAAAAATCGCTATGTAGATTTTATGTAGAAAAGTTGAGACAATCAATATAACAAATAAAGATAAAGTACCTGACATTAGAGAGTTGAGAGTGAAATGAAAAGCAAAAGTTTTGGTGATAGAGAGAGAGAGAGAGAGAGAGAGAGAGATCATATCATGATCACTTTGTCATCTATCTTTATGCAAGGAATATGAGCTATCTTTCTCCATTCTTTTCCCTTCTTGTTCTCATACCTCTTCTTCATAGAGGGGCATCTGGTGATGTTCAGGAAAGAAATAGATGCCGGAAAACCCTGTTTTGGCAGGAAGTCGAGACTATCACACCTTCCAATATATAGCTTTTGAAGAGAAGTGCGGTGTTGAAGTCCATTTCTGTCGCAGCTGTTCCTTGAGCAACATCTTCAACACATCCTCGCTGCTGATCTGAAATCTTCGAAGGGAGACAAGTCGTTGCAAACCCCAGTTCTCCACTGAAGGCCTCAATTTCTCACAATCTCTATTATGAAATGTTTGTAGGTTGGGAGGCAAACCCCTTTCACCAAATGACACAAGATTTGGAAGATCCCAGGTGCTCAATTTTTGAAGGGTGGTGTGGGTGTGCGTATGCTTGGGCAATAACTTCATATTATCGATCCCCAGACTCCGATATGAAATTTTTGCTATCGCATCCCTTTGACGTTGGCCAATCTTTCATTTTGCTCCCCAATCCATCCCCTCGATGTCCTGGAGGAAAGACTGAAAAGATCTTTTAACTTGAAATGCAGAAAACAGGACAATTACAAAATTATAATTTGCATAATATGTATCTTCTACTTACTTTGTGTTAAGAGCCTCATCACAGAGGAAATTTAAAAGCTTAAGGCATCATATCCATCCTCACCTCCACTAAAACACTCTGCGGGCAGATCCTTCAACCTTAGCGACCCTGGACGCAGAGATCAGGTTCTCCAAATCTTGGAACCATGAGCAGTTGGTGCTTGCTTGCTCTAGAGGCCTTAGGAATAATGCCTTCACATTTGTCCCTACTTTTCCCATTTATCATCGCAATCAAACTCTGAAAGTGGAAACAAAATTTAGACATGATTTGACAAGGAAAGATAGCAATGTGAAAGTTTTAGTGGGAGCAGAGTAGTAATCACTTGAGGTGTACCAAGATGCAAAATAATAAGAAAATTTAGGAACCAGTTTTCCTGAATTTCTTATTCCTAAAATATTGAGTAAACAACTCTAGTAGAGAAATTCAAATTTTACTTGTGATGGAAAAGAATATATATATATATATATATATATATATATATATATATATATATATATCAAAGTCCTTCACAAAAATTGCTTGTTTCTTCTCATCGATATTGAATGCAGATGTCAACTCAAGCACATTCCTTTTTCATACCTTGTCTCAGAAAGATACCTCAAATTCAAAGTTGAAGATACTATAAATTAATGAGTGATCAAAGAAAACAAGCATATGTCTCAGTGGAACCTAATTAGCACAGCTTCTTCAAATTAAATTCCAGTTTGTTACGCATTCAAGTTTGACAATCTGGATCTTTTCCTCATCTTAAGATGAATGTGCATTCTACCACGCTCAAATCATATCAGTATGAGAAAGGGAAAAAAAACATCATCCAGGGTTACCTCCTCGCCCATGCAGGAGAATCATATTCTTTACAGATAGCCATGGCACGATTCAACAACTGGTAATTTATGTAAGCAAACACACGTTGCCCTTGGATGATATTGTCCTGAAATTTAAAGGACCACGGTTTTGTTAGAGTAGCGTAGTTGAATTAAACAATTAAAAACTGACTGATTCATTGATTAATTAAACAGAGTATACGTATAGATGACTGTAAACAATTGAAGAGAAACTTCTACAGAATCTGAATCTTGGTTATGGAACGAAAATGGTGGTATGTACGTACCTGACTATGACTTGAGGCCTCAAATGATGACTTGATCGTCTATCTTGATGCAAGGAATGTGAGCTATCTTGCTCCACTCTTGTCCCGTCTTCTTCTGACAACTCTTCTCCAGGGAAGAACACTTTTGGATGCTCAGACAAGAGAGCGATGCCGGCAAACCCTCTTTTGGCAGGAATTCGAGACTACGACAATCCCAAATTTCGAGCTCTTGAAGAGAAGTGAGGTGTTGAAGTCCCTTTCCCTCCAAAGATTTCAGACTTTCCATTCCAGAGATTACGAGAGAGTGAAGAGTGGTAGGTAGCAGCTGTTCCTTGAGCACCGTCTTCAACAGATCCTTGCGGCTTGAGATCCGAAATGTTCGAAGGGAGACAAGTCGTTGCAAACCCCAGTACTCCACCGAAGGCCTCAGTTTCTCACAACCACTGATTGCAAATGATTGTAGGTTGGGAGGCAAACCCCCTTCTGCAAATGACTCGACATTTGGAAGATTGGATATACTTAAGTCTCGAAGGGCGGTGAGGGTGTGTATTCGGTCGGGCAATAACTTCAAATTCTTGCATCCACAGACTGTAAATCGAGCCAGTTTGGGAGTGCGCAATCCCCCGTGGGGAAAAGAGACCAGATTTGGACAGAAATAGATAAGGAGATAGTCGAGATGAGTGAGATTTTCGTCATCAGCTCCTTCTCCAATGGCAAGGGATTCTAGATTTTTACTGCCCCAGATATAAAGAAATGAAAGTTTGGGGAAAACGCCCAGCGGGAAGGACCTCAGTGAATCACAGCTGTCCCTCAAATCCAAATTTCGAAGGGATGTCAATTTGGCCATCATCTCATGAGATAGGAATTCTAATCTCCTGCAATTTTCTATTCCAAGATATGTCAACGAAGTGGGTAGACCGTTTCTCGGGAACGACAAGAGTGACGCGCAGTTAACGAGACTCAAACTTTGAAGACAACTGCTGAAGTGCGGCTGCAAGCAATCCGTGCGACTAAAAATTTGAATCTCAAGCGTCCGAAGCGAGGACAGCGACTCCGTCTCTAGTAACGACGATAGACCAGGGCATCTAACTATCTTCAGTTGTTTAAGAGATTGTCGCAAGGACTCCGTGTTGAAGATGAGAGACCAAGGTATCCATCTTGTTCTGGTAGCCCTTTCATGTAGAACCCCGCAGTCTGACACCCAAAGCTGTCTCAATGAAGGAAGATGATCGGGCAAGTTTCCCTTCAGCTTCGGACAATTCTCTAAAATGAGCACCTCAAGACGAGGAAAGTCTGGAGATTGACCTCTACCTGGACTCGACAGCCATTCCTCCCACTCCGGCATCTCTTTGAACTCTAGCTTCTTGAGAGATTGAAATGGTTGACTTAGAGAAGCTCCATTACCCCCGTAGAACTCAACACCAATACTCACAACAGTTTTCATCCTTTCTATATAGAGCTCTCTTAGAGCGGGTAACCGCCCAACTGGTGGCAATGAGAAGCAAGTACTACAATCACTAAGACGCATGACTTGTACGTTGGAGAAGGAAGAGTCTCCCAACCAATACGGAAAGCTGGTTCCACCATAAAATCTGATGGTCAGCTTCACGAGATTCACAGAAGGCTGTAGGCTTTCAAGTACGTGTCTCTCTTTTATGGAATCATCTGCTTCCTCACGACCCCATGCCAACTCTACTTCGTTGAGATCTTTCTTATCCTTCAAATTGGCCCCCAAGGCATCTATAGGATTGACGACATTTTGTAGATTCAAGATAGAGAGTTTTCCTCGAAGGTTCGACAATTGCCCCAGTTCACCAATGCCACCCGACCTAGTAGATTCCCCCAACACAAAAGCAGTCAATGTTCTCAAACTTTTTAGTCTACCCATTTGCACCGGCATCTCTTTTATACAAGTTCCACTAATATCAAGATGACGCAAATTAATCAATTTCCTCATGTCTGCAGGCAATTCAACAAGAGAGGAACAACCGACCAACAATAGAGTTTGCAAATTGTAGAGAGTACACAACGTATCTGGTAACTTTTTTACTGCAGTGTAAGAAAGATCAATGTAGCGCAAGTTTAAGTGTTTACCAATGTTATCAGGTAATTGCGTGATATTTTTATATCTTGACAGCGACAACACTCGTAAACATTTTAGTGCTGGTAATAAATCATCTAGAACCTTTATGCTTACATATAGGCTCTCCCATTGATGGTATGGTCTTAAAGACACGGGAAATAAGGTGCGCAAACACTTAATTTCATCCAATGGCTTAAATCTTGCAGCAGTATCAAATCTTCCTCTCATATATGACAAATGCCGAACTCTTTTAGGAACTTCATGCGACTCTCCCTCATCCAACCAAAAACAAAATTCTCCAGACACAAATCTAGCCAAATCATTAATGAGATCATGCATTGTGAAACTTGATGATTTCCAAATTAATGATCTTTGAAGTAGTGATCGTGACAATAGTTCATCAAAGTATCTATCACCGAGCTCTTCCAATCCTTTACTGTTCTCATCTTGTGGAATTAAACCCACTGCCAACCAAAGTAGAATTATATTTTTCTTTTCAAATTCATAGTCCTTTGGGAAAATTGAGAGATAAGCAAAGCATTGTTTTAAATAAGTAGGGAGATAATGATAACTCAATCTTAAAGATGGAAAAACACTTTTATCAGTATGCAATATCTCCCAAAGATTGCTATTCTATATGTGACTCCACTCTCTGTAACTTACATTACAACCTAAGAGACCCCCAAGTGCTTTTGCAGCTAAAGGAAGACCGTTGCACTTGCGTGCAATTTGCTTACCAATTTCTTCCAAGTGTGGATGTGCACTAGGATTTTCATTTCTAAATGCATGTTTTCTGAGCAACAACCAACAATCATTATGCGACAAATGTTTCAAATAGTGAATAGGACCGGTGTGCACAATGGATGCGACACTTTTGTTCCTTGTTGTCACTATGACTTTACTTCCCCTCGCCCCATAAGTAAAAGGAGCCCGTACAAGATCCCAATCACTATAGTTGTCATTCCAAAGGTCATCCAACACAAATAGGAACTTTTTCTCCCTCACGTGTTCCCTAAGTTCAACTTGAAGCAAGCTATCTTGAAGACTGCAAGGTTTTGAGATAATTGATTCAATAAGGGTTTTAGTTACCCTCATAGCATCAAAATCTTCGGAAACACAGGCCCAAGCTGTAACATCAAAATGCTCTTTTATATTTTTATCATTGTAAAGGAGCTGAGCAAGGGCTGTCTTACCGACCCCACCCATTCCCACTATGGGGATTACTGATATGTGGCTGCTACTTGCATCATCCGATAGCAACATTCTTTTCAACTTCTTTTTATCTCCATCCCTACCACAAGCACTAAAGTCATGCTCAACAAAAGATGTTGTGGGAGTTTTTTGAGAAACCTTCTCCTTAACGCCTCCTATAAGACCAAGGAGATCTTTTTGTTTCGCAAGGTGTTCCAACCTTTGGAATAACTCTTGTATCCTACCATTCATGCCTTGACAAAAAGGATTAAAAGAAGTAGAGAGGAAGTTCCACACCTGGGACGTCTTTTTGGTTTGATATTCATCAGCTTCCACCTTGCTTCGCAAAACTTCAGTATCGATCTCAGCCAGCAGGTCCTCGGCATCGAAGATGGCATTTTTGAGCTCGTCGAGCCACTTTCTCACACGAGGTTTCTGAATCTGCTTCTCCTCTGCATCATCGAGCACTGCATCGAGGGTAAGAAAAGTCACCTTCAGTTTCTCCAAGAGTGAATGGTCAAGTTTTTTCCGCCGGAAGAAGTCCATGAACTCCCCAGAAGTAATCTTGTCGCCCAACGTCCGGATGGAAGCAGAGAGAAAAGCCTCTCCAATCAAAGCTCCTGCCATGTCAGTCTCTCTCTCTCTGTTTTTTTTTTTTCCTTCAAAGAAGTGTTGAGGTGAGGAAGAATAAGAGACTTAGGAATATAAGCTTGATTTCGTTTCGGAGAGAGACGACTTGATTTTTTTTAAGTCAATAATTCAGTGGACCCAACACTTTAATCATAGAGACGGCTTTGATTAATTTTGGTCAATACTTCAATATCTTTTTGTTGTCAAAGTCAATAATTGAATATTGAACCCCACACGTCAATCATAGTCTTATTCCCTATAATTTAACTGAAAATTTCCTAGCACTACCAGTTGTTGTGTGTGAGAGTGTGGGTGGGATGACAATTTCCTAGTAATTAACCGTAACATGATTGTTGTCTGTTAATACTAGAAATCGCGTTGGGATTTTGCTCTTCAAGTGCTGTGTTGCAGATGCGGTTGAACTCAAGCAAAACAACGGTCGCTTAGCCTAGCCATAAGTTGAAAAAGTAATTTGCATGAAACGGACTCATTCACCGCCTGACGTCTTGATTTTAATGTAACATTACAATGTCGTATGAACATCAAACAACTTACATGTAAAATTGTATTTTTAGACCGTAACAACACAATAACGGCGATACTCGTTTCATATTATGTCATTCTCCATAATTTGCATATGTGATCAACGAATCCGGCCATGATTCGGCCTTTTGCAATCATGATCCAGCCATGATTTGGCCTTTTGCAATCATGATTCGGTCATTTGCTTTAGCTTTGAAGATGTTGGTGCATTTTTATAGTAAATTTCCGAGCTGATGACTTGCAAACAAATGACCTATGAAATATGACAAAGTAAGGAAGTGACTTTTTGTAACCGGAAAAAAAAAATTGGACGGTAAATTTAATAAAATGTGGCCCAAAATGATTTGACAAAATTAAGGGTATTTTTATCATTTTATCCTTATATTACGGAGATTTTTCACAGAATAATCAAAATGATTGATGGTAGATAAATTCATCTTATGAATCAATTCTATTGATTTTAAATCTCAACTAAATTGAGAAGTTATGATAATTTCAATTTCAGCTGAGTGAATGGTAAGTTTTTTTCGGCCGGAACAGGTCATGAACTCGTCAGAACAATCTTGTACTGGATGGAAGAGGAGAGAAAAGCCTCTCCAATCAAAAGCTCTTGCCATTTTCTCCCCCTCTCTTATTTTATTTTTTTGTCCTTCAAAGTAAGTGTTGAGGTCAGGAGGTGAGGAGGAACAAGAGACGACTTGATACACTTTTTTTCTCCCTCACACGTTAATCATAGTTTTTTATTTTTTATTTATTTTTAACATATCATAGTCTTAATTCTTATAATTTAAGGAAAACTAATGAAAATGACTTAAAAACTTTGAATTTTAACGAAAAGAATAAAAAGGTGTTATAAGTAAATAGTACTATAATAAAATTTTTAGAATAAAAATGTGATTTTTCGTTAAAATGAACAATACCAGAAAATTTTCGTTAAAATTTTCAATAATTTAACTGACAATGACAATTTCCTAATATTTGGTGGTGTGAGAGTGACAGAGTGGTGTGGGTGAATTTCAGTGGATCCCACACGTTAAAGTAGCAATTACAGTGACTTGGTTAATTAATATATTGCAGTTGGATTATAAACATAAGAGAAATTTTTCTTTGTGTTTGGAATATGAGTAATATACCGCATGTTATTATATAAGCAAATAAAAATTTTATTTTTTTAAGTTGTTAATTTTTTACTATAAGTATCTCTTTACTTGTATAGTGACACGTGATATATCACCCGTGTTCCAATCGCACTGAAAAATCTTTCACTTGCTAGGTCTTATCACAGGTATATGGGGAGATCAAATCTTTTAGGGAACTTTAACGAAAAGCTCCCGGTACCGTTCATTTTAACGAAAAACCACATTTTTACACTAAAAAGTCAATTATGGTACTATTCATGTTACTTTTTATGTTGTCATTATCGTTAAAACTCAAAATTTTCAAGTTATTTTTATTAGTTTTCTTAATTTTTTATGCTCAAAATAGGTGTGGTCTTTACCTCTAATCATTATTTGATGCACATTAAATTTATAAAAACAAAATTAACAAAAATTAAATTTATAAATAAATGTCGATCAATAATTAAAGCTAGAGAAGCCACACTCATCTTAAAGACAAAAAATTGATCACATTCTAGGGATCAAATAAATTGTAAAATAGGGGAACTTCAACTCGATTCCAAACAGGCAACAGAACTTTGTCTTTCATCAAAGGACTTGGATTGTCTGCCCTCCCATTTCGGTGCCCTTTCCGTGCCCTCCTATTTTGTGTGGTCACGGTTAAGCCACGTTAATATTTTATATTATTTTTTTATAAAAATAATAAAACAAAAAGAAATAGTAATATAAAATGTTGACGTGGCTTAACCGTGACCACAAAAACAGAAGGGCACGGGGAGGGCAGACAATCCAAGTCCTTCATCAAAATGTTGTCCTCGAAGTGCGCACCCTAGCCATCCCTTCTTCTGGTTGTCCACCCAACCTTTTCAATTGATTACTAATTTCTTCTTTTGCAGCCGTCCAGATTAAAATGAATAAAAATGAATTAAATTAGTGTCACTCGTCATATGAAGATAAATACGTGTTCACTCAAAAGGATAATTACAACAAACAAAGTAATATGCGTCAATCTCAAATAACAAACATATCATTAAAAATAAACAGCAAGATCATGCATCTATGAATCATAATTTTTAGAGTTTACTACCTTCTTAATGAGATGACTCCAAGTTCTATTAATTTTGAGCCACATAGATATTATGATGGATGAAAAAATGAAGGCAAAAAAGCAGCAATGTTCCGTGACTTATGAAACACCCAACTTGAAACATGAAAATCTGAAAGATAATTCTCTAAAAACAATTTCTTTTAAAAGAAAACTTAGAAGGCCTCACTATAAACATAACGATCTGGGAGGGAAGAAACATTCGGGAAGAGGGAGAGAGAGTTTAGAGATGTGGTTTTGTGGTGTTTGGTACGTGGAGTGAGACAGAACAGATTCGTCTCATATTTGATGTGACAAAAAACGTGAAACGCACCTATCCTTAGAATGATTTTTAGTCTAATTTTTGTACCACACTCCCTCATAAAAAAGACTTATTCCACTCCAAAACGAACTTATTTCACCCCATGGAACATAAAAATACTCCTTCTGTTTTTTAATAATTCCACACCAAATCATAAAAACAAACCCACAAACCCTAATCTTGTGTCTCGCTTCTCTTCTCGTAGCCTCTCTCCTCTCCTCGTTGTCTTCTCGGCGGAGAGGCTCCATTCTCAACTTCGTTCTCTGCCTCTCTTCTCTCGTGGCAGCATCTCAGCCTCTCCCCGCTTTGATTTAATTGTCAGTTTTTCTGGGTTGGTTGTGATTTTCCTCATTCAACTGACCACGGTTTTCTAAGTGTAGAAGTTGAAAACCCTATAAATTTATGGGTTTTTACTGAAATTGAATTTTCGTTCCACAAGCTTTGTACTGTTTGGGGTTAATGGTGTAATTTAGAGGTATACACCGTTTCTGTGTTTATGTTTATGCAACTATTGGCTGCGAAAATGAATCATTTCTTAATTTTTCCTTCTCATAAGCTAGAGAATATGGCTGCTGCGATGAATGTAAAATAATTACCCAGAAACACATTATGACCCAGAAAATCTAATAAACTTCTTCATTACCAACAAATATTAATATTCATTAAGCGTTAAGTATAACAAATATATCATAAATAAGCAAGGATACGTTGGCTGTTTAATCTTTTTGTTCATTCCGTCTTGCGCGTACCAAACGTGAAACAAAACAACTGCCTCAATTCAGCATGCGCATACCAAACATGTGGGAATCATTGTTCCATCCCATTTTATCTCGTCTACGCACTAAACGGTATCTTAATTCTTTTTAAATTTGAATTTTAAATTTTTTAGTCTAATTTTATTTTTTGCGATTTTAAATGCCCATAAACTAACCGAATTGTGGAGGAAAAGTGGAGAGATTTAAATGTAAGAGGAAATTATAGTAATAGTCTCTCAACTTTAACCAATTGAAGTAATAATTCTTCAACTAAAAATCCACAACTATTGGTCAATTTACTCAACAAAACGTGCAACTATGGACATTTTCGTCAACTCTGTTATAACTTTCGTCAAAATGAGGATAAATCAAAGGGCAAATATGAAAACCAAATGAGAAAATTATAGCAATGGTGCCTTGACCTTAATCCAATTATAGCAATGATCATTCCAACATGACTCATTTTGACATAATTTTGATGGAGTTGACGAAAATGATCATAGTTGCATGTTTTGATAAGCTAAGGGATCAATAATCATAAATTTTTAATTGAAAAACTATTGCTCCAGATGTTAAAGTTTAGACACTATTGTTACAATTTGTCTTAGCAGCAATGTGGTATTTTGCCATAAATAAAAAGGAAAACTAATGAAAATTGTATGAAAACTTTTAAGTTTTAATCAAAAGGATAAAAAAGTGTTGTAAGTGAATAATATCATGAGTGACTTTTTAGAGTACAAATATTATTTTCGTTAAAAGTAAACAGTGTCAGGAGTGTTTCGTTAAAAATCTCTGAATAAAAGTCTATTACATGATTGGCTAAAATTAAAGTTTAATGGGGCAATTGATAGTAAATTTCAAGTTTTAGGGGGAATTCGACAAATAGTTCAATGAAACTAAAAATCATAGAGTTGAAGAAGATATAACCTCAAACAAATTATTTGGTTTTAAGGAAAAACAAGTATAATTGAAGCAAAAGAAATGTATCCCGCCACTAATCATCGCGCCTTCTCTTGAAGCGCTTACTCTCTCTCTCTGTCTATCTCTGAGTTGCCGTAGCATCGACCACCAGGTGCTCACTCCGCGTCTCCAGGTGCCACTAATCACCGCGTCTCCAGGTGCCTCACTCCGCATTCAAATGTGAAGCATTTCTAGGGTTTCATTTCAGCAGGGCGTCTTCGGAGTGTTGCAATTTTCAAGTTATAAACTTTTCCCTTATCATCCCACTTCCAGCATTCTCAAATTTGCCATATTTTCCTTATCTTCAACGCCTTTGTCCTTTTAGCAGAAAGCCCGTCGCCGATTGATTCAATCCGTAGCAGATTTTGGCGCGAAGAAGCTCCATTGATCCCGAATACACAGATGTGTTGGAGCAATGAATAGGGCACCTCATATGAGGCAAGAGTAAGAGGAACAAAGAAATAGCCTTTTTACTTTGCATTATACTCCCGTTGCTTCCATTGTTATTTATTCGGAATTCGGGTATGTGCAGTCGTCCCAATCTGGGTCAAGATTTCTGTGCCCAGACGCCTGTTAAAGCTAATTTGTTGGAACATGTCAATGCACTTGATAATTTCTCGTGCCCGCATAGTGTTCTGAGCTCAAATTTTATTTTCTCCTTACCAACACGAAAGCCTCTTGCCGAAGAGGCAATGGTTTTCGGGTATGTCGCGGTTATAAGTGTTTTGTTTTCATTTTTTGTTTGTTTGTTTTTTTTTTTTTGTACTGTTATTTCATTTTATCTTGAGGATTACTTATTATTTGGTGACAACTTGACATCAGTTTTTGTATTTGGTGATTGTGGTCTTTTGCTTGGGTAAAATATAGCTCTTGTGTTTGTGTTAGTTACATGATTTATTGTTTGTTTCAGCTAATTTTAAGTTTCATCTTACCTTAGCGATCAGGGCCGGTTCTGAGATTTTAGGGGTATGGGTCCCTGCATAAAAGAATCCCGCTATAGCGAAGCTAATTTATGTGTCTATAGTTGTATTAATATGGTATCTAAATAGCGTATTATTACTCATGAGTTATGGTTCAAATCAACAGTAATCATGAAAGTAAAACACAATTTAGAGCTAAACCATCAGAACCAAACTAAGAAACATAAAAGTGATTCCTCTAATACAGATGGAGGCCATATGGTAAAGCAATCTATATTTGGCGCCAAAATCTTGCGGGACGCACAAAACGTCGCACAAACGGCCTTTGCGTGACGGCAAGTTGCGCGACGTCGGTCTTGGTCGCGCAAAACAAGTTTGCGCGACGTAGGTTCAGTTAAGTCGCGCAAAACACTTTTGAGTGACGTCGGTCTTCGTCGCGCAAACTTCCGTCGCGCAAAGTCCGTTTGCGCGACGCTTTGTGTTTGACGTCACGCAAACATACTTTGCGCGACGAATTTGGCTGCGTCGCGCAAGTTTTCGTCGCGCAAAGTGTTTTTTCTACTAGTGCATTATTCTCTTATTCACATACAAATCCTAAAAAAGTTCCCTAGGATGAATTCTTTTTACGGAAACCAAGTTGGTACATATATACATATGATATCATCATTTAGGAACCCCTTCAGATTGGGGGCCCTGTGCAAGGGCACGTATTGCACATGCCCAAAGCTGCCACTGTTTGTGATAGATATATATAAATATAGGAATCACTTCCCAAGAATGGGGATCCCCTCTTGACCGTTAGATTTGGCTTTAATGAAATTATGTGGTTGAGATTCAGTGACCTGTGATAATCTCAACCACAGAATTTCATTAAAGCCAAATCTAACGGTCAAGAAGGTATCCCCATTTTTTTTGAAAAATGGGGATCCCTCTTGGGAAGGGGCCTGTATATCATTTTAAGAATGGATGCCTTTGTGAATTCCATTTTTTGTTTTCCTCGAATCAATCATTTCTGACTGTTGGATACTCCTTGTTCTTGATGGTAGACATGGATTTTTATACAACTAACGATACTACTACCTCAAAGCATTTAACCTGGTATGTATCTTGAGTCTATTTGAATATATTTTTTTCTTTCTAATAAAGGTTCTCTTTATGCTTTTAGCTCAATGGCTTGTCCAATTCAAAATACTGAAAGATACAGAATTCTTGAGTCTATTTGGATGAGGGGTAGTCAATCTCATTTGTCTTTTTAAATTGGTTATTTGGTTTTTTCAATACTTTTGACAAACTGGGGTTCTACCAGCCCTTTCCTGCCAAAGTTTTTCTGGTTTGGCTTTTGCTTCTGAATGGGAAGATTTTGGCAGGCTTGGCATGCCCTTTCCAATCTTCAGATTTCTTGTAGGAACTACCCAAAACCTGAAAAACTCTTCTAGTTAAGGATGTTAGTGCCGAGTATCGTCCTGATGTTGGAAGAACTGCTTTGCCAAGCTCATGCAACATTGACAAGAGTCGCGTGCATATGCAAACGCATCAATACATTAATGGAACTAATACCAGGAACAGTGAAGCAGGAACTTGTTTGGGCAACCCGCTTCCATCAAGTAATTTTAATGTTGCAGATGCAGGAAAAAATCTTGGACGGCAAAGTCAGGTCAGAGCATCAATGGTCAACAGCTCTGATGCTCGGGTGTTGGATGGATCACTTAGCAACAATAGTGTTCATACCAGCCAAGGGAAAGACTCTGCAGAAGTTTTTGTTAATGACCTGGACGACGATGATGATGACATACTTGAGGTAATTCATATCTGTTTTAGTCTTTTAGACTCTGCAAAAGATTTTGTAATTATGTGTTGAATAAGGCTACTGCCGTAAAGATCTAGATGGAAGTTCACTAACTAGCATGTGGTTGTTACAGTTCTACTAAGTGCTATTTTGTATGGTGACCTAATTGCTTCTAGTCAATCCATGTTACTGGTTATCTATCATTTGGACTACTTGTGTGTAAAATTTGAACATGGTGTTATGTTTCTATTTTACCGAAGGCTTATGTTGTGGTGTCTTTGTTCATGCAAATGTTGATTTACTGGTTATCTATCTTTTACTTTGGTTCAGAATATTGATGTTGACCAGATAGTGGAACAGTACCAATCAAGTTGCACACCTCAACCATCAAGTTTCAAGCTTCCACCCATTACTCCCTTTATAGATAAAGATAATAGACAAGAGGCGACTAGTTTGCCACCAGAATTGTGTTCAAATTGCAGTCATGGGTTTAAGGTATGCTTATCATCCATATTCTGCTTTTTGTGGCTCCATTTAATCATGTGGGCAGCTTAATGTGCCTAATTCCTGAATCTGATACAGATAGGACTTTGCCCAGAAGCTGGAAGTCATTTGCAGGAAATGAAGGATACCCTAATTATCATATCAAATCAACTGCTTGATGATGTTAATGACCTCAGCCCAGAACAAATAAATAAGCTTCGCCAAGATAGGTTTGCATACCACCCCCTTTCATCTTGATTTGATTTCCTTTAGAGTCAAGGTAGATCTTTTTAGAGGGGATTGTGGATAAAAATAAATAAGTGAAAGAAAAGAACTGGCGGACAGGGCCGACCCTGAGAATTTGGGGGCCCCAGGCGAGTCTTCGAAGTGGGGCCCTAAAATTCTCTGATCTCCGGTTCTTTGTATATTGATTTGTATAAAAAAGAATTCGCTAAATACATAAAAAGTTCTATTTTCACATCAATATCATTAAAAATTAATATCAAAAGAAGATAAATATACAAACATTATTTAAACATTACATGATTCACGTTTCACAAATGTACTAAATGTTTGCAGTCAACAGTCTAAGATTGAGAGTGAAGAACAATAAAACTTGATCATCAAGAGAGTAAATAACAATAAAACTTGATCGATGAGTATAATAAATTCAACGCCAACTGTTTCTCTTGTGTTTTTTTTTCTTTTAAAATCAACATCACACTAACGAATTGAATATTAAAATAATCCATTGAATAAAAAGTTATTTAAAAGAAAAATATAAATTCAAAGTTTTGATTACCTTAAAGTACAATATTTAAGACCGTATGATAGTTGGTTTAAACATTCAATAGAAATAGAGAGAATGGGAAGTTGGTTTAAACATTCGATATAAATGGAAAGAATGAGAAGTTGAAAGAAAAAAGATTGTAAAGAGACTTGAGTTTTATAACTTTATATGCATTTGGACAGATGGATTGGAAGTAAATTTGAAAAACAAGAAAAATTTAGTGACTAAAAGACAGCTTCGTGTTTCGAACTCAACACCGGCATTAAATTTGAAAAACAAGAAAAATCTAGTGACTGAAAGACAGTTTCGTGTTTCGAACTCAACATCCCAAAAGAAAAATGAAGCCAACATTTCCACTGCACTAACAAATGAATTATGATATTTCTTACCTTTTTTTGTATTTATATGTTAATTACATGATATAAAATTTTTTTGGGGCCCTTCTGAAGTGGGGGCCCTATGCGGGCGCCTACTTGGGCTACCCTCAGGGCCGGCCTTGCTGGCGGAAAAAGTTCTGATTTACCACAAGTCATGTAGCATGCAACAAAAGCTTCAGAATGTTATTTTTGGATTTTTGGTTTGTTTTACATTTATTATTATTTGTTATATTTTACAAAGAGATAAAGAAAACAGTGAATTCCCATTGTTAGGTTACAAAGAGATAAAGAAAACAGCAGCTTGATAAATATCTTTGTAACAACTCATTGGATGAAGAAAGACGAAAGTCACATTTTTCTGCATCAAAAGCAACTCATTGGATGAATTTATCCAGTTTCTCAAAAAAAAAAAAAAAAAAAAAAAAAAAGCAACTCCCAGGCCTTTCCAATGTGAAACACCTCAACAAGCTGCATTCAGGACTGATCCCATGAGATTTGATTCACAGGTTCATCCACATAATGAGTCTGGAGGATATGAAAGATGTAATTCATCATCAGTTTCATTCTCTTCTGTTGATAGGCTTGGTTTCTCATCTTGTCCTGTTGAGAAGGAACCATGCATTTCAAAGTTTGTTGAAGTTAACTACATTGAAGGTTCCAAGGACAAAAAATGGAGTAGTGATAATTTTCCGTGGACCAATAAGCTGGAGGTGCTGGTCTAGATCATTTTCATATTTCGTATTTGTATTATCTTTCATTGTTATATTGTAATTGTTGTTCTACTGCTACCACTTTCAGGATGGTAACAAGAAAGTGTTTGGAAATCACTCTTTCCGTCTCAACCAAAGAGAGGTCATTAATGCTACGATGAGTGGCTATGATGTTTTTGTTTTAATGCCAACTGGAGGGGGTAAGAGCTTGACATATCAGGTAAAAGAATTTTTTTTTTTGGAACCTCTTATGAGATATGGTCATATCCGTTTAAGGCTTACCATATAAACTGTTCACTTAGGAGCAGATATATTGTTTGGTCATCTTAAGTCTCTAGTCTTTATTTGTATGGTCATGCTTAGTTTACTGGTTCAGTTTCTTTACCGCAAGCTCTTCAACATTTGTATCATCCATCAATATGTAGGCCAAGTACCTTGCATCTCCATCATTTGTTCGTTGTAGAGTAGTCTCATTCTTTACAGTAAAGTAGCCATTAGACTGTCTATACTATAGAGTTTACTTGGGTTTATGTATCTTGTAGCTCCCTGCGCTAATTTGTCAAGGAATAACATTGGTTATTTCTCCCCTTGTGTCACTCATTCAAGATCAAATAATGCATTTATTGCAGGTAATGTTTCAGTCCATCCTTTAGTTCATTTAACTGCTTCACTTCCTGGTATCTATTACAATGTATGCTTATGTCCTGTTCTGGTATGTGCTAGGCAAACATTCCCGCTGCTTACCTAAGTGCCAATATGGAGTGGACTGAACAACAGGAAATACTTAGAGAACTAAATTATGAATATTGTAAATACAAGCTGTTATATGTCACCCCAGAGAAAGTTGCTAAGTGAGTATTTGTTACCTAATATGCTTGCGGACATGTTCATTTGTATTCTCTCTGTTACTTCAAAAACAGCACTTTATTGGTAGGTATAGTGTCAATAGAAAGGTACTGGAAACTAACAAGTGTGTTATTTACAATTACTATATGTGATTTAGCTCTTTCAGTAGTCGAACATGACAAATATATCTTACAACTGAAATAAGTAATTTGTGTTGTATGCTATTTAGGGAGGGAACTGTTATTAGCACTCCAAAAATCTCATTCTACACTCCTTGCAAGTGTATTTTTCTTTCTAATTATGGAAAGTTTGGAGTGCCAAATGAGATTTTTGGAGTGCTAATACCAATTCCCTTTAGGGAATATTATTAAGTGGCATTTATTTCTGGCTGTTTATTGTTGGAATCATTGAGAACACTAAACACTTTTTATTTAATTATCTTCTGTTACTTGAATACCCAGCCTTATAATAATTTCTGTTGCAATTGCAAATTGAACGATTGTTATAGTGTAAGTACTGTGTCCTAATCACCGCGCTGACTCTCTCTCTCTCGCTCTCTCTCAACTGAAATCTGAGTTGCCGTGGTACTTCTCCAGGCGCCTCACTCCGCATTCAAATGTGAAGCATTTCTAGTGTTTCATTTCAGCAGGGCTTCTTTATATTATTGCAATTTTCAAGGTGTAAACTTCTCCCTTATCATCCCACTTCCAGCAATCCCAAATTTGCCATATTTTCCTTAATCTTCAACCCCTTTTTCCTTCTCGCAGAAAGCCCGTCACCGATTCATTCAACCCGTAGCAGATTTTGGCGCGAAGGAACTCCATTGATCCCGAATACACAAATGTGTTGGAGCAATGAATAGGACATCGCATATGAGGCAAGAGTAAGAGGAACAAAGAAATATCCTTTTTACTTTGCATTATATTCCCATTGCTTCCTTTGTTACTTATTCGGAATTCGGGTATGTGCAGTGCAGTCGTCCCAATCTGGGTCAAGATTTCTGTGCCCAGACGCCTGTTAAAGCTAATTTGTTGGAACATGTCAATCCACTCGATAATTTCTCGTGCCCGCATAATGTTCTGAGCTCAAATTTCATTTTCTCCTTACCAACGCAAAACCCTCATGCCAAAAAGGCAATGGGTTCCTGGTATGTCGCGGTTATACGTGTTTTTTTTTTTTTCATTTTTGTTTCCTTTTTTTCTACTGTTTTTTCATTTTATCTTGAGGATTACTTGTTATTTGGTGACAAGTGACAACTTGACACCAGTTTTTGTTTTGGTTGGGTAAAAATATAGTTGCAGGATTTATTGTTTGTTTCCGCTACTTTAAGTTTCATCTACCTTGGTGATCAGGGCCAGTTCTGAGATTTTAAGGGTATGGGTCCCTACATAAAAGAATCCCACTATAGCAAAGCTAATTTATACATCTATAGTCGTATTAATATGGTATCTAAATAAGGAATTATTACTCGTGAGTTATAGTTCAAGTCAACAGTAATCATGAAAATATAACACGATTTAGAGCAAAGCCATCTGAACTAAACTAAGAAACATAAAATGATTCGTCTTATACAGATGGAGGCCATTATTTTTCTTATTCATATACAAATCCTAAAAAATTTCCCTTCGATGAATTCTTTTTACACAAACCAAGTTGGTACATACATACATATGATGTCATCATTTAGGACGGCAAAGTACTCAGTTTTAACATTTTTGCCTAGAAATTTGTTTGAACAGTTTCATAGGGTAGCATACATATATTTTCTTGTGATTGCTGTGCTCAATCAGCTCACCCAGCTGGCGGTTTTGGCCGTGGAGTTTCCATATTGCCATTGGCATTTGTGTTTCTTGTTACTTCTGTTAAGGATGCCTACGAGGACTATAGGCGGCATTGATCTGATAGAATTGAGAACAATCGTCTGGCATCAGTTTTGGTTGGTAACCAGTTCCAGTCGAAAAAGTGAGGCTATACCTTGTGATATGGTACTGCTTTCGACGAGTGATCCAACTAGGGTTGCTTATGTGCTGACTATCAATTTAGATGGGGAGTCAAACTTGAAGACGCGGTATGCAAAACAAGAAACCCTCTCCAAGTTGCCTGATAAGGAGAAGATTACTGGGTTGATTAAGTGTGAAAATCCCAACAGGAACATCTATGGCTTTCACGCATTCATGGAAATTGATGGGAAGCGGTTGTCACTGGGACCCTCTAACATTGTACTTCGAGGGTGTGAGCTTAAGAATACTCATTGGGCACTTGGAGTTGCTGTATATGCCGGTCGTGAGACCAAAGTTATGCTCAATAGCTCTGGAGCCCCATCCAAGAGGAATCGCCTTGAGACCTGTATGAACTTTGAGATCATTTTGCTCTCTGTGTTTCTTGTTACTTTGTGTACAGTTGTCTCATTATGTGCTGCTGTTTGGTTGAGCCGCAACAATGATAAGTTGGATGACATACTTTTCTACAGGAAGAAGGACAACTTGGATGAGAAATTGGACGATCATAACTATTATGGATGGGGTTTAGAGATTCTTTTCACGTTCCTTATGTCTGTCATTGTGTTCCAGGTCAAGATCCCCATCTCGTTGTACGTTTGTATGGAGCTTGTCCGGGTGGGTCAGGCTTACTTCATGATCAGGGATGGTCAAATGTATGATGAGGCCTCTAATTCAAGATTTCAGTGCCGAGCTTTGAATATCAATGAAGATTTAGGACAAATTAAGTATGCATTCTCATTTCTCAGACAAAACTGGTACGCTGACAGAAAATAAAATGGAATTTCAATGTGCAAGCATTTGGGGAGTAGATTATAACGGTGGGAGAAGCAGTTTGGAGCAAGTGGGGTACTCTGTTGAAGGTAATAAATGTTTTTCTTTTGATTATGT